TCAGATCTTTGTTAAGGACATATTCCTTGTCCTTGAATCTCAAGGTCATCCTAATGTTGTGCATCCAATCATTAAAGTTGGAGCCATCGAACGTGACCTTGGCACAAATGCTCAAGAGCGAGAAGGTGTTCCTGGAGTTGTTGTTGGAGGAACCGCAAGCGTTGTTGGAAGTTGACATCTACAAAAGAAGAAAGACAATTTTGATTAGATAAGGAAATTCTTGATTTAACACCCAAACGAAATATTAAGGCTAGGACCCAACACAATAATTCACAATTCAAAAAAGGGATGTCGTAATCCAATTGTAAATTATTTGAAGGTATGTATGACGATTTACCAATTTCACCATGAAAAACGAAATTTAAATGAATTAGGTTTTTAAATGATTCCTTGCTCTTTTGAGATTCATTGAACTATTCAATGTGTGTTTAATCTCGATAATGCCCTTTCCACTTATGACTAGGATACCGAGGATCACAAACAAGGTATGTATAACCATGCAAATTAGTTTGGTACTCTCGATGTCATTTACCACATAATCATTGTGTCGGTTAACCACACACGCTCCATTGATCAATGATAATTTACAAGCTTCCCATTTCTACCCTTTATTAGTCCATATTAGTATGTCGGTTAACCACACACACTCCACTAACGACTTTTATAAAGTACAATGTGCAATTTCATGGATTAGTATCAAATTCACATTTTCCTAAAGCAACTAAGGTTGGGAATTTTATAAAAATATTTAGTTACTTTATTTACTTTAATATACTTATTAATGAGAGTTTAATGTCCTATCAAAACCGTTCGGATAACGACCATCCACTAGTCAAGAGAGCGGTGGGTAAGAATGGATACCCAATGGCGGTCATTTTATAGGCCGCTTCCTTAAACTCATCTTATAGACCAGCTTCATGAATGAGGCCTACTAACGGTAAGACTGACCTTTCTTATACATATATATAAACATTAACTTTTAATTTTACTATATATATATATATATATATATATATATATATATATATATATATATATATATATATATATATAAGGGTGTATTTAAACTTTTAAAATACTAGGGTTCTAAAATTTAACATTTCAAAATTAAACATACAATATCGTCGGTATCTTTCAACCGGTAACTTCCATTGGTATCTTTCAACCGGTAATCATCATCTGTATCTTTCAACCGGTAACTGTCATCGGTATCTTTCAACCGGTAACTGGGGACTATTCCACCCCCTACCACTAGCATGCAACATCAAGATATAAACATACAGTGAGGCATATCCGGGTACTGACCTACCCTTCGGTCCTAAGGACCACTGTTAGGGAAACTGATCCATACTATACACATAACATATCATACAGATAAATCTCATGACCAAAGCACATAACCAGACCAAGATAATTATCACAAAAACAATCATCTTCTAAATACCCCTCTTTGGTGGGCCGACATTGTGACCTTAGACCCACCCCTACTGGAAGGTAACTCACCTTAATGTTGTGTAGTGTTTGAACTATCCTCGGCGTACAAGTCGACTCCCTTCGACTCCTCGATCCCTACACGACAACCTTCAAGTCAGCACACAGAACGTGCAACCCTAAAAAAGGTAGATCAAGTCCAATCAAAGTCGACTTCAAGTTGACCCGACTCGCCAAGTTAGGTCGTCAACTCGTCGAGTCCCTAACCTTTTACCCGTCCTTATCCATGACTTGACGAGTTCCTTTTCTTTACGAGCATCGAATGAACCTTCATCCGACTCGCCGCATTGTATGAACAACTCGTCGAGTTCATCTTCATCTAATGAACAAGTCCTGACCTTGACTCGCCGAGTTGTATGAACAACTCGTCGAGTTCATCTTCAACCATAAGAAGATTGTCGTGGACTCGCCAAGTCTGTTCTAGCACTCATCGAGTCCCATGAACTCCAGGTCTAAAACTAAGTCCAATACGTTGGGTCACTCCTTCTGACCTGCTACAACCCTTCTAACACCCAACTGAGTTCTCTTGACCCTCAACAGATATGGGACTTAATGCCTTGGACTCGTCGAGCCCCAAGAACGGACTCGCCGAGTCGATAACGTCCACACCTTAAATTCTCGATTTCTGATGTACAATACTTGTCCAAATGATATATCCAAGCCCCTAAGTTCGATCTAGCACGTAAAGCTACGAACTTTACGTGCATGCATGATACTTTTGAGCCTAAAAGGCCCTAAAACGGTTCTTATAATGCATGGGACCTTCCTGGAGTGCAAAAGCAACTCCAATCTGCCTTGTGACTCTTCCCAATTGCTAGATCCGAAGTCTTGACCCCCAACCATGTTTGCAAATCATGGTTGGTCACCTTATATGGCTTAAAAGCCCTAAATCTTCCCCAAAAAGAGATCTAACAAACAATCAAGCAAGGTACAGACTTTATACCTTTCTAAGACTGCAAATGATAAACCAAACTCGAATCCTTTAGTCTCCTCTTGATCCTTCTATGCTCTTCCTTCTTCCTTGAGGTCAAAACCCACAAAAATCACTCAAAAGCCTTAGCTCTTGCACCAAAACACTTAGGGTTTGCTATGGAGGGTCTTTGGGAGCAATAGGGACAAGTAGTAGCTGAAAGAGATGATTAAATAGAGTGCAAACCCTCGGATTAGGGTTTTTGTCCAATCAGAGCCTACTCATCGAGTCTAGTCGCCGACTCGATGAGTCCGCCACTTAAGTCCCGTGTCCAAACCCACTCCTACTCGACAAGTTGGGCCTTCAACTCGCCGAGTCCCAGGCCATGAAAGCAAAATACATTAAATAAAATACATACCAGGAACCGGGTGCTACATTATGCTTACAGTGTTATGTGATATGTGTTTCAGGTACTAGCGATGATCGCGGGAAAACGCCAACATGATCCGTACACATTGGCAGAAGATTTATTTTATGATCTTGGGATTTGTTTTATCATGATAGCATTCGTTAAATTTGAAATTTAAGAATATTGAATGAGTTTTATGTTATTTAAAAAACGAAAAATTGTTTTGAAAATTCACGTTGTTACACATACATGAAGAGTTATGCTTTCACGATGACACCGTTATAAAAGCATACTTCATGCCATTTATTTACCATCTACTTAAAACTACAATGAAAAAGGACATCCAAACACCCCATTTGGTCACAAAGGTAAAAGAACAAACACAACACCTATAATTTCCCAAAAGAAAAGGCTTTGTTCAAGAAGAGTTGCAGCCACACACAAACAATGACACTTCCAATTTTTTTTTCTAAGACTACAAGATCCCTAGACTTTCACCCATTGAAAATCAGGATCAAGAACAATGAACAATAACAAAAACGACACCAACACATAACACCATACACTTTAGCCAATGTGTTTACACAATGATAGGCCTTGTTAACCTAACAAGAATGGTGTAGCTGATTCCAATGCATGCTGGAAACCTATTCCAGCATCGGGTGGCAATTTCTTTGACCCTTGTGACACTGGTAGAGTGAAAGAGGACCAAATGGGACACATTTGGATTTTGTAAGGAAGACACAATTCGCATCTTCATGGGATTTCCTTGAACATGATTTCTCTGGTAAAAATGACCTACAAAATATCGACCAAATCTGCTTTTAGTACAAAAAAAATGCAGTATTATCAAGCATATATGTTTAAAGATCCATAAAGATACTACCTTTAATCCTAAAATGTACAAGATTAAGCTTTATTTTAGAACTTTCTATATTATGTTTGATTCTTTTCGTTCTTTAAAACAAAAAGGTTGGTTTTTATTTGTGGAAGTCGGGGCCCCATCCCCCATGTGTGAAGGCTAAGAACCACAAGAACATTAGAAAATGCAAACAAGTAGTCCCCTCCCCTCCCCCCCTACCCCTACCCTACCCAACCACCACCACCACAAAATATCATATTCAACAAAGTCCACTCATGAAAAAATTGCCCCACCTGTGACACTACTGTAAAGGTCATAAAAAAAATCGAATCTCTGTTATAAAAGATCTTGTTGTCTATCTGTTTCATTGTTTCTAGAGGCTGAAACCAAAGTCAAAAATAGTGTTTCTTTTTTCTCATCAAGTCTTGTATGGGTAAAATGGCAGAATATCCAGATAAAGTGTTGTATACACAAGATCTGTTTCTTTAATTCCTTTCAAGACTGAATAAATGATCTGAATGAGACTACATGACCATTTTGTCCTTACATTCCATTTTATTCTTGGTGTTTTATTACATTAAGCCAGGTTTTCTGACTTAACCTATTAAGCCATTCTGTCCAGATCAAGTAAAAAAGAAACAACAATATATAACTGTCCAGATTAAGTTATTAAGCCCATTTAAGTCAAAAAGAAACATCCCCTAAAGGATCTTTCTCTTGTTGCCCAGTTTTTCAAATTTGTTAAAATTTAAAAAACTCATATCTTTTAATGGAATATTTGAAGAAAAAGAACATTAGAACATGGCACATCATGAAAGGCTTTACAGGCTTCATGGGCCCTAGTAAATTCTTCTTTTCATAAAGCAAACTCATGAGTTCTCCTCAATTATGAGGGCCAAACTGTATATAAACTCGTCCCCACTGTTCATATTAAGGGGAACACATGTATCATTGGCTAGATCTTTATCCAAAAGCTAATAACCTAATACGGGTAATTATCTTTATTTGAGACTACCAAAAGGCAAACAGAATCAAGTCTTTCATAAAGCAAACTCATGTGCTCTCTTTCTCTTGTTTAAAGAACTTCAAAGAAAACAAAAGACTCCTATAGGTATACTTCTATGTGATCAAAGAACCTTTTTTTAGGGTTCTACTGCAAATTCAAGGGCACATAAAACACAAAGTAAAAAAAAAAAAAAAAAATTGCATTTTTTAATGAATATGAAACCAAGTGTATACCTCTAGAATGCAAAACGAATAATTTGCAAGGCTAGATTTGAAGCCCGCCACTCAAGTAGCAGTACTACCGTTCTTAGTCCTGCTGCAATCTAAGGATACCTGCAAAAAATTATCAAGAAAACATTACAAGTAGAAAACTGTTTCTTTTTTACTTAATGGGCTTAATGATTTAACTAGAGTAAATTACACGAATGGTCCCTATGGTTTGGGGTAATTTGTGGGTTTGGTCCCTAACTTATTTTTTTTATTTCAGAAGGTCCTTACTGTTTGTTTTTGTTATGTGTTTGGTCTCTATTGTTTGTTTTTGTTCCCATTTGGTCCCTGACTTACCTAATAAGATTATTATTTAAATATGGAAAAATGATAGGGTAGGTAAGGTAAGGTGACAGGGTGGGGTTGGGGGTGTGTTTATTTAAATAAATTAAAAAATCAATGGCAAAAGAGTCTTTTTAAATAAGACAGAGACCAAGCACGTAACAATATCAAACAATAGGGACCTTCCGAGTTAAAAAAAATAAGTTAGGTACCAAACATGCAAATTATCCTAAACCATAGGGACCATTCGTGTAATTTACTCATTTAATTACTTAATCTGGACAGCGATATATTGATGTTGACTTGTTTCATTTTGACTTAATGTTGGGCACAAAACTTACTAACTTAGGAGTTGTTTCTTTTTTACTTAATCTGGACAATTGACTTAATGGGTTAAGTCAAAAAAACTGATTTAATGTATTAGGACACTAACTCTTTACCTATTAGTCCTTCCTCTTTTTTCCTCCCGGATTCTCTCACGTAAAAATTATTGCATATTGTTAGAATTGATGAATATTGTGAAATTTGGTTTTTGGAATGTAAGGGTAAAATGGTCATTTAGTCTCAACTCTCATAACCGAACTCACACATACAGTACTTTATCCAAACAGAAATTATTACCCATTCAGACACTTTATCCCTTAATCTCATAAGCTATCTGTGAGTGTTTAATTTTGACATGATTAATAGAGAAAGTCAGGGAAATGAGGGTTTCCCCATAAAGTCCTAACTTTTTACAGTTTTCCCGAATTCATTTTTCCCTTTTATTTGGCAAGTATACAATCATTTTGTCATTTAATATTTAAACATCATTGATCCAAACAGTAATACTACTTGCCTTTTAATCAGACCTTCATCCTGAATTTTGGTCAGAAGCACCACCACCTTGCATGATCTGGGATGATGGAGCAGGGATTACAAATTGCTGTCCTTGAACAGGTGCTACAACACCTGATAACACCAAAAAAAAAAAAAAAAAAAAAAAAAAAAAAAAACTTTTTTACACGGATAATAATATTTCATATTTTAAAAAAGAATCTTTTGAAAAGAAAACACTGCCTGTTGGATATGCTGCTTGAATTGACCGAATGGATGAAGTAGTAGTAGCTGCATTTACATTTGGCCCACCGAATTGCACAATTTGATGACCTGGTAATGTATTATAACCTGGATAGGCCGTGTAACCATGACCACTTGGAGCTATTTGACCCATTTGATTGTATGGATACATGCTGGGCGGGTTAACTGCTCCGTATACTTGAAGATACTGCTGACTTGAATACGGATTGTATACGCCCTATTAATAAGTAAATAACTTGTTAAATTTGAATAAACTTCCTTTTGTCAGGAGCTTTGGAAGACTGAAGACTATTGAGTTTAACCTGTGGATAGACATATTCTGGACTATACGTTCCATACCTGCTACAAAAAGAACAACATTATCTCCTTAAACCCTAATTGCAAGAAATAGCAATGTACTTTCATCCTACTTTCAGTTTTTTTTTTCTTTTTAAGGCATCGTATTTTGACATTGCTATAATTCATCTACTCTTTTCAATATTTTCAATGATTTCATAACAAATTACCAATTCAATGAGAATGTTAGCATGTAAAATTCAAAAATGTAACTTACGGGTATGAGGGATACATTAATCCTTGTCTGTAGCCATAAAAAAGTGGTGGTTGTTGTTGGTAGCCATAGCTTCCTATAGAAGGCACACGAGCAGTTTGCACACCTCCTGCATAAGATATTGTTGGTGATACACGTCCTGAACATGAATAAAATCAATTTCAGCCATGATTCATGTAACAAAATTCAATTTTTTTTTTTAAAAAAAAGAATTAATACCAAAAGAAAGTGCAGGACGAGGGCGTCCAAGTGAAGCTAAATTACAATTCGCCCGTCTACCATCAATGACCGGAGCTGGATCTACACATGCTTTTGAAGCAGATTCAGGATCACGGAAAGTCACCTAAACCCTCCATGAAAACACCATCATCCAAAACAAGTCACTTCACGATAATATCATAAATTAAAACGAAGTGAATATGTATAAATGATTATAGATAAAGATGACACTCACGAAACCATAACCCTTGGATCGGCCGGTGTTTTTATCAGTGATCACAACAGCTTCAAGAATCTCTCCAAATTGCTCGAAGTATTGACGCATGGTTTCACTCTGAGTCTCCCAAGCAAGCCCACCAACGAACACTTTGGTGAAAGTCGTATCACCGAAAGGGGACTGAAACCCAGAACTCGAACTCGATCCCGAGCTCGGACCTGCAGGAATCGACGCCATGGACAAGACCCTTATGCTCTCTTTCTTTCTTTTCTTCTTAAATCGAATTGGGTTCAAGCATAAGGGTCGGAACCGAAAAGAAATAGAAGAAAGGAACGATTTTTTCACAAAATAATTGAAATTAAACAAAACTCTGTACAGAAATGGCGAAATTCTTTCGAGATTTACGAAATTGGGAAGATTATAGCACCCTAGAAGTTGAGGTGAAAAGGGGTAGTGGTGGGTGGAACAATTCGTTGTATAAACTACCCACAAAATGTCATTTTCGTGGGGTTATGGGGAAGAAATTTAAAGGGATTTCGAAGTTGAAGTTCTTTTACTTTCATGGGGTAATCGAAGAACAAGATTCTTCATTTAAACGACGATGAAAATGGATTTTCACCAAATCAAATAAATACACACAGTAAACTTCTTGTGGCATGATGATGATGACAGCGAAGGAGGAGAAAAAGTCGAATGGGGGCGAGCTGGCAAAGGGACGGTTTATCACAAACAAGAAACGGCAGTCAGAGAAGGGGAGAAAAGAAAATCGAAAACGGCTTTCTTTCGGTCCTTTTTCCAGGGCCTAGATTGATAAACGACAGTTAGAGATACAACTCTTAATGGATGATGTACATGCTGCAAATGCAATTGTGGTTTGGATTTAATACTTCTCTGGACTTTGGATTCTTTCACTTTTCCACCTCGTTGTTTCCAAGGTTGTCCCAATGATTTCGGAGAATTTTTATCAAATATATTTGAAAAAACAAAAAATATATCCTATTTTTAGAAAAAATTATATTTTAAGTATATAACTATTTTATAATTTAGTTTATTTTTTGATTTTTTTTTTAAATTATTAACAAATGAACAAAAAAACAAATAATTTTTTTAAATTATTAGATTTACATTTCAACAAACTTATTTAATTTTTTTTTTTTGAAATATATTATTATTAATGCTAAATATAACTAAATCTTTTATATATTATTTTATATATTTTAGATCATTTATCTTAGATTTTATTTTTATCAACTATTAGCTAATTTTTCAATTAGTTCGTCAAATATACATTAAATAAAGTGCAAAAACTTAAAACTAAAAAAATATAGTTATAGTGAGAGGGTTTGATTGTGGTTTAGACTATCCTCATTAACAACTCAAACAAATTTTTTATATAAAAATTATTTTATATTTTTTCCACTTATACAACTCAACCCAATTTAATTATTCACGCACAAGCAATCCAATCCAATTATATATATATATATATATATATATATATATATATATATATATATATATATATATATATATATTGGTTTGTTTTGTAGAGAAAAATAAATTACATATTTCAGTATATGTTATTTGATTTCTTACCAAATATAAAGTGTGGTTTTTAACAAAATTAGATTTAATTATAAAAAATAATTTAAATCCATCTATCTAAAAAAACACCTGACTGTATAAAATAATAAAAAAGAAGTACTGCTTTGGTGAGGGCTTGTTGTGATAGCCTAGATCACCAAATATGTTTTATTTTTCCTTTTTTAAGGTGAGCATATCCCAAGAGATCATCAATGGGGATGGTTTTAGGTCCCTAGTAGGGGTGAGCGTGATACGGTTTTGGGATAAAATCGCATTACAAACTACATGTGTTGATTTTTGTAATCTTAAAACGTGATGCTGGGCTTTTTAAGTGGTGCTCTTTTGTAGTTTTTCTAACGGTATGATTTTAGTTTCAAACCTCACAATGAAATGTTGTGGTCCTTTTATGGTTGTGTGATTTTAAAACAACAAGAGACCATTCAAAGTTATTAAAAAAAAATTAGACATTAACAATTTCAGAGACAAAGACTTAAAAAACATTGATTTAATTGTAACAAAGAATGAAATAATCAAATTAAAATATATAATAATGGGCAACTATTATAACTTTTTTTGTCCGGGAAAAGGATAAAGGAACATGTAGAGTCTTAGGTGTGCATATGTAGTTTGGTCTCATCAATGAAGCTTGTATTGATTAATCATAAAATGAAGCATGTATGGTTTGGTCTTGTTATTGCAGAAGCATAATTGATGGCACGACAATATCTCTTTCGTAGAATCTGTAATGACGAATTTGAGACGGTGGCCCAGTAAGAGTGCGGCAACTTGACAAGCATTATGATAATGTTTCGTCTTCGAATCGAAAGAAAAAAAAGAATTTAATTATTCTGCTTCAGTTTAGTCAACGACAAATGAATATTCATAAACGAACAATATAATAAATCATATATTATTTATATAAATATTTAATATTTTAATATATAGTTATAGTGGTACAGTTCGGATTCTGAGGGTTAGATTGTAAGCTAAAACCATATTGAACATATTTTGATCGATTTTCTCAAATCAAAAACCACGTCGAAGGGTTTTGTATTCTGTTTTTGTTTGTTGTGGTGTTGGATTTTTTTTTATTAATTCGGTTTTTTCTCACCCATAGCTTAACTTTAACATTTGTTTGTTTTAATCTGCTAATTGTCTTAAGATAACACTTTTACCCTTCTTTGTAAAATTTATTAATTATTAAATTTTGTTATTATTTTAATAGGATTAAAAGAAACCCTAAGAGGTTCAGACACACTCATGTCCTCATAATTTCTCTCTTGTTATCTGATCTTTGTATCGTTCCCTCCCTCCAGTTTGTCACCGACGTGAGTGATGAGTTCAACACACAAGAACTTTCCTATGTGCTCATGCAAACCCTAATACTTGGATCTAGGTTTCTCTATTGTACATGCAATTCATCCAAGATTTGAAACCCTAGATCTAGCATACATAAATCAAAATTAACATAAAATATCATATCTAGATGATTACATATTCAAGAATGCTTGATCTTTCTTCTTCATTGAGCTTAGAGTTACAAGTGTAACTCCTCTAATGGCTTACAAACTTCAAGAAGCAAAAAGGCTATTATGAGAGAGGGAGGAGGCTCTAAATTTCGACCCTAGGGTTTCCAGATCAACAAGTACTGAAAACTGAAACCCAAGGGTTAAGTTTCCTACTAAACCCATTAAGGACTTAATCCATTAAGTCCAATATTGGTTATACTAATTTTTGCCAATGATTATTATTTAATATTTCAAGTTATTAAATAATTTTCGTGTGTCCCGATTAATCCCCCAAATTAGGGTTTCATTGCATTGGGGTTTCCCAAACCCATATTATTTCCAACCCATATTAGCCCATTATCAATTTGTTGGGCTTTTAGGTCAATTAGGGTTTTATTGGGCCTATTAGGCCCACTAGAATATCATTAAGCCCATTAGGGCTTCTTTGGGCCCATTAGGGTTTCAAGCAACCCAAACGAGTCAGCACAATCCGGCAAGGCACACCGCCACCCGACACGGCGATCGGTGGCGGCAGCCACCACCCTATAGTGGTGGTTTGATTTTTCCTTTCATCATTCCAATTGTTTTACAATTTACAATGAACTCACAAATAAACACACACACTACACTCAGCCACCCTATGGTGGTCGGCGATGAAATTTTGATGGACTCGCATCATAATTTCGTTCTCCCTTTGATCCATTATGTTTCCAAGCCCAAAATCCAACTATCACACATTTGACAGTTTAAGCCCATTTATTTAATTAATCACTTTTAGCCACCAAATTAATTCCTAATTAATTTATGATTAATATTAATTAAATAATATGTTTTCTCATTTAATATATTAATCTTATAATATATTAATAAATCATAATATTCTCTCTCTCCATAAATTACCTTGTCAAGTTGCTTTGGTGAAGGCAACCCAAAAATATCATGCACAATCGGGTCAAATACATACCAAATATAGTTACGGGCTTAGACACTAATCCAATAGTGAGAACTTATGAAACTTCCCAAAATCAAAGCAAAAATATTTATTTTTCAAATCCATAAGTTTTACAAAAACAATGTTTCCAAAATTCACAATCATATATCAGAGTATCCTATAATCATAAATTATATAAAAGTTCAGGATGATTTGCACAATCAAGCATGCGGCTTGGCCTGTCCTCTGAAGTACCTGAAACCATAAAGTCAAACTGTAAGCCAAAGCTTAGTGAGTTCCCCCAAAATACCACACGCATTAGGACAGATAAAACATGCCTCGACCCAATCAGTCATCCGATTGGAATTCCAACGTGCAACAGGTCCAGTCAGTCATTAAACTGGAATACCCTTGCCTAATCAATCATCATATTGGAATGCCCCGGCCCAATCAATTATCACACTGGAATGCCTCAGTCTGTCGGCTTACATACATAGCAATAAAGCCTCAACCCAGACTGCACTATGTCGATATATACAACAGATAAAACATATAACAGCAAACAAATAATCATGCATATCTAACATATCTCTAAAACATAGAAATATCCTATATATCGTGATACATAACCTAGTAGGTCGGTATTAGGGTCTTCAACCCACAATTACATTGAGGAAAACTCACCTCACAGTATGAAAAATGAACAGATCAATGCTCCAAATACTGCCTCTACAAATCAGATATACAATTAACAAGGACCTAATCTCAAACTACTATCTAAATTTCCCAAAATACCCCTAAGTCAAACTTTGTCAAAGTCAATGGTCGATGGTCAAGATTCAAAAGTCCAAAGTCAAAAATCCCACATCAGGATAAGTACGTCTGCATACTCCATCATTGCACATACCGTAGTGAATTCTTCCCTATATTACGGGGCTCCAACTTAATACTGTAACACCTGTTCTCAGTATTACCTTATTTAGTTAACTTTGGGGTTTTTGGTGCATGGAATCGGTGAGTTGAAAGTTCAACTCGTCGAATAGAGGCATTAATCATGGGCACAGATCGGGACCAACTCGGCGAGTCGAAAGGCCTGACTCGGTGAGTTGGTGCTGTAAAGAGAAAACCCTAATTTTAGGGTTTGCCCCCTATATAAAGATCATTAACCGCTCTTGTGGCCTCCCCCAGCACCTTAGCTCCCTACAGAAAGTGGTTTGTGGTTGTAAACACCCTTGAGTAAGAGTAAGAGCCTTTGGGACAAGGTTGAACATCGGGTCATGGGGAGCACTGAGGTAGTGCTCAAGACAACCGGACTGATTCAGCAGGTGCACGACCGACTGCAGGTCACGCAAAGCCGTCAGAAAAGTTATGTTGACCGACGGCGATCGGATCTTGAGTTCCATGTGGGGGATTTTATGTTGTTGAAGGTGTCGCTTTGGAAAGTAATTATCAGGTTTCAGAAGAGGGGAAAGTTGAGGCCTCGACTCATAGTCACGTTCAGGATCACAACCCAGGTGGGCAGATGACATATCGCCTAGATCTACCGGAGGAGCTTAGCCAAATTCACAATACCTTCCATGTGTCGCAACTTCAGAAGTGTGTCACTGACGAGTCTACAGTCATTTCATTGGGCGATATTCAGGTGGATGAGAGCTTGAACTATATCGAGAAGCCCGTCGCAATCCTTGATAGGAAGACCAAGGTTCTTCGGAATAAGGAAGTAAGACTAGTAAAGGTGCAATGGAGGCACCAAAAGGGCACCGAATGGACCCGGGAGCCGGAAGAGGAGATGAGAGAGCACTACCTGGAGT